TTTTCTCTGTATCTATGAAGCGCCTTGAGGCGACTTTTGTTGTGATTTGGCGCTATATAAATAAAATTGAATTGAATTATATCGTCCGATTTTCCCAAATTTTAACTGACAGCATAAAGAAACGAGAGATTTACAAGAAAGGAAATAACTTTTTTAAACACTTTGAAAGGAGTCCCTTATTTCTGTCTGTGACGTTCAGATTCTCCTAAATCTCTCACATTTGGTTTCCTGATTAAAATAATTTCACATTATGAGGAAAAGATGCAAAAATTAAACGACAGAAACTTCTTATTTTAAAGCTACTGTCTCAAAACAATCTACGATCGAACCAAAGAGAGCCGTGTTTCTTTCCTCACCAGTAAACCCAGCAGCTCGTCGTCGACGGCCGGCAGCGGCTCCCTCCAGAACTGGAAGCTGTTGAACTCGTCGCCGTCGGTCTCGTTCGGCGTCGTCTTTTCCGTCTCCGTCTGTTGGACGTTCGTGCTGTCCGCAGGTTTCTGAAGACGCAAACACAAAGTGAGAAAACATTCCTGACGGCACGCCGGCCCGACGGCTGACGCGAGCGTCCGACTCTCACCTTGGAAGGAAAGTGGAACCCGGCGACGTTCATCGGCGTCTCGGGGTGGCGCTGCGTGCTCTGAATGTTCACCTGGATCAGAAAAGAACCAGAAGAGTCTGAGTTTATCACAGTGTGGAGTTACAGCCAACAGGAGAGCGAGTCTGTGCTGCAGGCACCTTAACCTCCGGCTCCTCCCTCAGGTGCTGCGAGCCAACGTTCTCCAGCTCCAGCTGGTAGGTCAGAGCCAGGACTTTGATGTCGGTGGCTGAGAGACTCGGATAGTCCCCGGTCTTCTTGGAGAACTCTGTCACTGAAAACAGACACCAGGATGTTAAATCACCCCTTTAGGAGGTTTGGAAAGGGCTGGGATCCAGACGCCCGCTCACCGTGTCTGATGTGCTCTGGATGAGGTTCCTTAAAGTGGAGCTGGTACGGCAGGAAGGCCAGGCTCCTCCTGGTGGGCTTGTCTCGGATCTCTTCCACCACATCTTTCAGGGTGTAGATATTCCTGCCGATTTCCTACCAAATCAAACCAACAGAGTGAGATAACATCGGGAAGCTTCAGCCTCATCTTTATCGTGGCAGCAGCCAGAATTCATTTTTTAATGCGCTTCAAGCTAAAATCTTCATTAAAGTTTCAGTGAATATTTATTTTACTAAACAAGGTTTTTTCTCCTTTAACAGTCTGAGAACAAAGACCAGATCCGGACCAAAAACCTGTCCATCTACGTTTAAACCTGAACTACAGCCGGTGATGCTTTGATCCGGATCTTCTTTCTCTGGACGACATTAAAGATCCGGGACCAGATTAACACATTTAACTCAGTTTTATGGTCCTGGATCATTTGTTGTCCCTGTGAAAGCAGAAGAAGATCTGGTTTCTCGGTTTGTTGTCGGGGACCTGTTGGCCTCCGGCTCCACGCTCAGTCCTCTCCCCCGGCTCGCCTCGCTGACACCCACCGGTCTCTGAAGCCCCTCTCCCGGGTCACCCACACCCTCACAACCCGGTCCACCTGTATCAGGAGGGACAGACTCACCTGGAGAGGAGCTTTCCTTAAAAACGCTCCTGCATCTGCGACAACATGCTCTACCAGGGTGGTCGCCATCTTGGTTTGGAGACCAGCAGCGGGAGCGACCAATCAGAAGAGAGGGGAAACACTCGTGACACGTAGAAGCCGAAAACACGTCATTGATGTGGGAAAGTTGAACTTAACCATCAAGTTGTTTTTAAAAAAGTGAAACGTTTGTTTTCTTATTTAATTCGTGTATTATTTTTAATCGCTATATTAATGTAACTCATATTTTATATACAGTAATTATTTACTTTATGTCCTTTAACAGTCCAATCAGACTTCAAGATATTTAAAAAAACAATAGTACATGTTTACTAAGAGACACAAACATCAAAGGTATAAAATTAGAAAGCAAATAAAGGAAAACATCGTAATAAAATGTTACATTTTTATGATTAACAGAACAGATCGCGTCTGTTCCCACTGTCCTGAACGTCACGTCACTTTAGCGTCACGTGGTGTTTGTTGACGGTAGGAGAGGGAGAAAGATGGCGGCCCGCTGGAGCAGTGAGAATGTTGTGGTGGAGTTTAGAGACGCCCAGGTGAGTTTTTCTTTTTAAGAGTTTTATTTATTTTTATATTTTTAATTTCGTGTTTGTACGAAGCGCCTGCGCGCGCAGGTCAGGGAGCGTTTAAAGTCTCGTAAAAGAGAAAACTGCTCAGTCCAAGTTGAATCATCCGGACTTCTTCTTAGTGTTTGTTGTAGATCGATCCAGTTGAATGTTTTTAATCGATTAATTGATGGAGTTGTGTATGTGGCACCGAATGTGTGGATGATTATAAATGTAATAATGAATTACTCGGCAAAAAAATAATAAAAATATATATTTATTTATAATCCAACAAACAAACAGTAACTCCAGATTAATGAACGTGGATCAATTAGAATGAAAATTAAGTTAACCACAGCCTGAGTGATTAATCAGCCAATCAGGAAGTTAATCAGTAATCCAGGTGATTGAATAGGTGTTCTGGTCACTTTTAAAAGCGCAGACTCCTCACAGTTTTGATCATTTTTGAATATCTGTGTATGTAATAGTAAAATAAACAGAAACAAGTTGATAATAAATGATCATATCGGGTAATTTAATATCACCTGAAAGCTTCAAAGCTTCGTTGTGTCAGCAGCAAAGGTTACTTCGTCTTTAATCTCACATTTAATTCAGGGAAAAGCACATCTGCTCTGAATGAGAGGAAATCTCTCTGAACTGAAGTTCGACGATTTTAATTCTGTTTGAATTTTGATTGTCACTAAAATAGGCACAGTGAAAATTATACGGCGTTAGCTAAAATAAAAAACTGTCACTGCTGCTTTTGTCTCGTGTTTTCAGGCCACCGCCATGTCCGTGGACTGCCTGGGCTCCCACGCTGTGCTGTCCGGGTAAGTCTGGGTCACCTGAACGCGCCACAGTCCTTTTTCTCAAACTACAAATAATGAAATGTGTTTAATGTCACATCAGAGGCTCGTAGTTACTCATTAGTCAGTTAATTATTCAGATTCAGAGCAGCTCTGTCCGCTGAGCTACAATAAATGTTTGAGAGAAGTAACATACGTGTAGTAATAATACATTAATAATAAGTTAGTATCAGAATGACGGATACTTAAATTATTAAAAAGTTAATATAATGATCTATATTTATATAAAAAAAATCAACTTCATTATGATTTATGACATGAAAACATTTGAAATTTGCAGCTATGACATTTTTATGTCATTATTTAGAGTTTCAAGAAAGTCAAACTTTGGTTAAGAAAAGTCAAATATTAATTAAAAAAAATATTATTAATAAGAAGTTAACACTGAGACAAAGTCAGCTGTAATAAAATGTTAAATGATCTAAGATTAAGAGATACAAATGAGATACAGATATTGCGATAATAATAAATAATATATTTTTCTTATCTTTACTTCAAATCAAATCACTTTTATTGTCACATCACATGTGCAGGTACACGGGTACAGCACATGTGAGTGAAATTCTTGTGTGTGAGCTTCACAAGCAACAGAGGTGTGCAAAAAAAATACAATAACATAAGAACAAGCAAAATATAAGAATGGCTAAATCTCAGAGTTATATGAATAAATATGTGTACAATATAAGAGTGTATGCACATTACTGAATGTGTATACTAAATATGTATATCTACGTGTGTGTATATATATACATATTTAAAAAATTAAATAGAGTAAACAATAAAATAAAATATACAAAGGTTGGTAGTTGGATATTGTGCAAAACAGTGGCATTTATATACAGTATGTAGTAGGGGTGGGGGAAAAATCGATACTGTGTAGTATGGTGATA